TCTCCTTAACAAACTTGGAGGCTACATCCGACGCTGTGAAAGGATGACGCAATCCGATAAAGTGACCAAATTTGCTCAAACGATCAACCACCACAAAGATAACAATGATACCTCCAGACATTGGCAAACCTTCCACAAAGTCCATACTAATATCCTTCCAAATCAAAGTAGGAATTTGCAATGGTTGCAGCAAACCGGCAGGAGAAAGTGTGGAATATTTGTGAGTTTGACACACTACACAAGCTGCAACATGTCCTTGAACTCTTAACTTCATTTTTCTCCAATGAAATAGTTGTTGTATCCTCTTCAGTGTGCGTAGAACGCCAGAATGACCTCCCAGCATTGAATCATGGTATTCCTTCAAGATCACTGGAATAAATGCTGAAGTGGAAGGAATCATTAGACGTCCCTTATAAAACACACGGCCATCTACCACCGTAAAACCTTTCTTCAGCTTTTCCTTATTCTCAATCCTTCTCTTCAACGACACCAAATACTCATCTCTGTCAATCTCAGCAAACAAATCCTGTAATTGAATTGCCTGCGGAATTGTCAGAGCTAACAGCTGAGAACTACCAGCCTCCACATCCGATGCAAGCATCCTAGATAGACCATCAGCCACCTTATTTTCCACTCCCGGTTTATAGACAATATCAAAGTTATAACCCAGCAACCGAGTAAGCCACTTGTGATATTCCATAGACACCTCCTTTTGTTCCAATAGAAACTTGAGACTCTTCTGATATGTATGAACTTGAAAGTGCCTGCCAATTAAGTAATGCTTCCATTTTTGAATGGAGAGAACCAAAGCCATTAACTCTCTTTCATAGATAGGTTTGAGTTGCTCTCGTGCAGATAACGCATAGCTAAAATAAGCTATTGGTTTCTTGCGTTGCATCAACACAGCACCAAGCCCAAATCCCGACGCATCAGTCTCAACCACAAACACGTCAGTAAAATCTGGTAACGCTAAGACAGGTGCATAAGACATAGCTCTTTTCAACTCATCAAATGCCTGTTGAGCTAATCCAGTCCACTCAAACTGATCCTTCTTTAAGAGTTCTGTTAAAGGTCTAGCTATAACCCCATAACCTTTAACAAATCGACGATAGTATCCTGTGAGACCCAGAAATCCTCTTAGTTGTTTCACTGTTTTCGGTGAAGGCCACAGTCTCATTGCTTCTGTCTTTGTCGGATCAGTGGATACACCGTCTGCAGAAATGATATGACCGAGGTAGTCTACCTGAGATTGGCCAAAGAGACACTTCTTCAAATTTGCATACAGTTTAGACTCGTCAAACACCTGCAGCACCATGTTCAAGTGCTTAACATGTTCCTCCACAGACGAACTGTAAACTAGCACATCATCAAAAAACACCAGGACAAACTTCCGAAGAAAAGGCCTAAACAACTCGTTCATGAGAGGCTGAAAAGTGGCCGGAGCATTGGTTAGGCCAAATGGCATAACCAAAAACTCATAATTCCCTTCATGAGTGCGAAATGCTGTCTTCTCTACATCTCTCTCCACCATACGAATCTGATGATATCCTGAGCGTAGATCAAGCTTAGAAAAAACTGCTGCGCCATTAAGTTCATCTAACAGTTGATCGATAACTGGAATAGGGTATTTATCAGGAACTGTTGCCTTGTTTAATGCACGGTAGTCCACACAAAAACGCATCGAATTATCCTTTTTGCGGACCAACAAAACAGGGCTAGAAAATGGACTTTTACTCGGTCTAATGATTCCATTTTTCAACATTTCCACTACCATTGTCTCCATGATCTCTTTACTGGCGTGAGGATAGCGATATGGTCTTACTGAAATAGACGTCACACCAGGTAACAGATGTATGGCATGCTCGTGCCCTCTCATCGGTGGTAGGCCCTCAGGTACTGCAAACACTCGCTCCATATTCTTCAACACGTTTGCAACAACCGCTGGCACAGGTGACCCTGAGAGTGAATGATTCTGGAAAGTTAACGACACCCCCTTGTTACACACCAAAGCTTTCTTCTGAATCGACTTAAGAGATGAAGCCTTTCCATGTAAAAGAGGATCTCCCTTCAAGATCACTGCTTGTCCTTTGTAATTGAAGGAAAATTCATGAATGTCCCAATCAACCAGACACTTCCCTAACGTGCGAAGCCATTGAACTCCAAGAATTATATCAGCTCCACCGAGTTCCAAGGCGATGAAATCATTCACAAAAGCCAACCCTTGAATCGCAAACTCCACATTAGAACAGATGCCTAACCCCTCCACGGACACCCCTGTACCCAACATAATCTGCAAACCAGTCATAGTAACCAACTTCAGACGAGCTTTGTGAACAATATATGGAGACACGAAGTTATGTGTGGCTCCACTATCCAGCATAACCACTACATTTAGTTTGCCAAATGTTGCTAACATCTTTGTTGTTGTTGGTGAATCTTTACCCAAATAAGCATTCAAAGATATAGTCATTAACTTTTGCTCTTGCTCCTCAACAACCTCTGTATTCCACTCCTGTAATTCCTCATCCATAACCTCCAAAGATAATCCTTCTACCACTGTCATGATTTGTAATGTCTTATTAGGACAATCATGATCAGGCGAATATTTTGCTGGACATTTGAAACACAACCCCAAACGTTTACGCTCCTTCAATTGCTCTCGTGTATACATATATTGTGGGCGTGGTCCAGTCTGACCTGTGGTTTCAGTCGGAGAAGGTTTAGGTTGAACGTCAGTTTTTGGTTTGAGAGAAACATTAGCAGAACGCCACGGAGAATTCATCACACGTTTAGTAGCACCTCCTGGTACCACCACCCCACTCAAAACATGACACAAAGCGCTCGACTCCATCTTCAATACAGCCTCCTTATGCTGTCGCAGTCCTTGTGGCTCTTTAAGCTTAATAACCTCCTGCATTGGTGGCTTCAATCCATTGTAAAAAATATCAATCAAACTCTTCTCAGTCACATTCGGCACAATCCCTACTAACTCCTCAAACTCATTGACATAGTCCAGAATTGACCCAGTCTGTTTAATTCCAAACAACCTTTTCCTTGGTTCCTCCTCAACACTACCACAGTAACGATCAACCAATCTCTTCTTAAACTGCCTTCAATCAACAAATGGATCTGATTCCATCTCTCCATTATACCAATTCAACGCAGGACCTTCCAGACTCATCGAGATCAGCTGTAAGCGGTCATCACCATGATAGTTGCCCAACCTGAAATATCTCTCAACCCTCGCGATCCAATTGAATGGACGCGAGCCATCACAAACAGGCATATCCACTTTTTTAAGCAATCTATCACGAGCTTCTCTCACAGTCCGATAACCTAACGGCTGATCATCACCAATTATTACTGGAGTCGAGGAGTTTACCTGAATCGGAGGATTCGACGAACCGGCAATCTCTTTCCCTTGAGCTTTCTCCGACGAGTAAATCCGTTCTATCCGAGAAACTAACCGCGTCATCTCCTTCACGTTAGAATCGACTGAATCTAACCGCTCCTCCACTCGAGTAAATCTCGATTGAGAACTCCGATACTCCTCGGACATCTTCTCAAATCCGATCTTAAGGTACTCGACATCCTGTGTTAGATCTTGTACCTGACCTCGTAATTCACTCGCAATCTGATCATCATCGGTTAACGATCCCATCGCGTAATCTCGATCCGAAGTCACGACGCACCAATTTGTTATGAACAAAGTTATAAAAAGAGAATCCCAGCGTACTTTATTCACAACGAAAAGGAAAACAGAGTACTGATTACACTGATTAACTCCAGTTAATCAGAGCTCACGATCTCCAGATCGCCATAGATGAGCACCAACTCTCTACTCTCAGTTTCTGTTACAAAATTCTCGATCCCTCCCAACTGACATAACAAACTCCGTATATAAACGCTATCTCTTTCTTTTTAGGAAAGTCTCTCTCTGCCACAGAGTCTTTCCCCCTTCTTTATTCTTCTTTATGAAAGTCTCTCTCTGCCACAGAGTCTTCTAAACATCTTTAACTCTCCATTTGAATATCTTCTACTACTCCCTCCCCTCGTCCCTCCAAGTCTCTCTTCTTCTTCCTCACATAAACCTTCCTTGGCATAACACACAACAACTATCTTCATCGCAGCAGCCATTACAGATTGGCTTGACGTTATATTGCAAGAGAGGTACTTCCTTTTTTAATACCCTTTTAATGTTCTATGAGGTGAAGGTTTGAGATGTTGTGTTGATTTCAGATGAGGTTAGGCTTTGCGTTTGGTGTTTTTTTGGATCCAGGTTAGAGAAAGCTCTTTTTTTTTATCTTCATCATCACAAGACTTTTATCTTTATGATTGAAGTTATAATCCCAGCTTTTAGATTGAAGTTATAATATTTTCTTTCTGTACATCTTATTTGCAGTCATTCAGATAATAATTTGGTTGAACTGAGTGAAGTGAAATCAAGGAAGTGGAAGTAGCTGTTTTACTCGAAGGAAGTGGTCTTCCAGAATCTGTCTCTGCCAGGTTCTATAACTCGCCTGTCAAAACTAACTTGATTAGATAATTATACACCGGTTTCTTCTTTTTTTTTTTCTGTGAAATGTTCTCTGGGTAAAATTTGATTTCTGATACTGGATGACTCTTTATTGATTGATAATCGAGCAACCTTGAGAACCATGTAAGTTCCTTGATTATCTGATTTGGATTCAGTCAAACCGCACAGAAGTACTCTCTTAAAGTTCAGAAGAGCGGTGCTAACGAACACCTTCCTCCTCCACGACCAAAGAAGAATTCTAGGCATCCTTATCCTCAAAATGCTCCTAAAAAGATGACTTTTTATGATCTTCTCATCTCCTTTGTGTTCATTCTTTGATTGTTTTGTCCTTCTCTCTTATGTTTTCTTTATTTTATGCTGCAGTTGTTCTTCCCTCCCACACCATTGGTTCCATTCCTGCTTCAAACGTGGTCTAGCTTTATGTGGCATATTGTTCTGTGCGTTGAGTCTGCAGCTACGTAAAATGAAGGTAGAGATAGCAGAACTTGCAAAGAATCCCATGGGGTTCCTCATGGAGTCTGTTCACTCTGCTGGTTATTCAGGTGCATTGGCAAATCCTCTGTACACACCTGAGTCTGCTTTGCACAGATTTAATGGGGAACTCTTTGAAGAGTTTATGACTGTAAGACCGCATCAGCTTTTGAGAACCATCTACATATATGTGATTACAATGGTTTAGTTAAGATGGCGTCATCATTTTTGTTTTTTTTTTAACTCACTTGATCTGGGAATTTCAGGAGAATTTCACGGCTGCACGTATGGTACTGGTGGCAAGTGGAGTTGAGCATGAAGATCTTTTGAAAGTTGTTGAGCCGTTAACTTCTGACCCACCTAACTTACCACGCCAAGCAGAGCCTAAGTCTCAGTATACTGGTGGAGATTTTTTCCACAATACTGGTGGAGATTTTCGCCAACATACTGGTGGAGAGGTATGCATGACAGATATGATGTCATTAGAAAAATGTTTTTGAGCTAAAGTTGTTTTCAGTTCACAATTCAAATTGATATTTTTCTATCATCTCAGGCTACACACTTTGCGCTTGCCTTTGTGGTTCCCGGCTGGAAGAGCAAGAAAGAAGCACTCATCGCTTATGTTCTCTAGGTGTCTAAATTGAATGTTTAATATTTTGTTATGCTAAAAATTTCATTTGTTTCAGTTAAATTGTATTTACTAAGTAAGAGTCAATATAATCTAATTGCTATTAGATGCTTATGGGAGGAGGTGGCTCATTCTCAACTGGAGGCCCTGGAAAAGGAATGCACTCATGGCTTAGTAAGTCAAAATTTTGTGTTTTTTTCTTGCGCTTATTGAATTATATCATGAAACATTCTCAAGTTTCTATGTCTGGTTACAGATCTCCGTATTCTGAACGAATATCAGCAAGTTCAGTCATGCACCGCATTCACTAGCATATTTGGCAACACCGGACAATTTGGAATCTATGGTTGCTCGGTGATTTCAGCAAGATCCTGATGCTGTTTAGTATGCTTTTCCTTTTATAAAATATACACTCTTTTTCCATATATGATAGATGTGTATTAAAGGAATACCAGTTTGGAGTCTGTATTATTAAAAAGCTTCAGGAATATTGATTATGTGAGCTTATTAAGCTTTGTCCAGTTTGTGTTAGCTGACCACGTCTTTGCTTGATATGTATTCTGGTAAATATAATGATATGATTTACATCCCTGATTGCAGAGTCCTGAGTTTGCTGAATGATATGAGAACAGCTATATACAATAGAGAGGAATGTTGCTGAACTTCAAGACGTTTTATAGGGATAGATGATACTGAGTGGACTCATTAGCTTAAATACTTACAGCTGAGATTGATCGTACGTGGAGAGGGTGTTGATGATATAAGCCCATAATCTTGCTAGGGAGCTGGCGTTTACGGTAGATCCCCTGATGAGGAAAACGCCATCATCATAGTTATATTACTAGGCTTTGGTTTTCTATTTATTATTTTCTATATTAGTTTGATTTTCCTTTCTCCAATAGGAGTTGTTAACAAGTCGTGGCCGACTTGGATCTTTGATGCCTTATATATAGTATCTCCTCGGCCTTGTGAGGGATACAACTTTGATTATTTGATTTTATAAACTTAGTAGATATATGCTGATTGTAGTTTTTTTGAGCAACATAAACAATTAAATAAAGTATAGTCAATTCTTGAAACTAAATATGCTAGATTAGGAAAAAACAACATAATTTTAATATAACATCAAATATTGTGGACATAAGAATTAAAAACAAATAAAAAAGATAGATACTAATAATAACCAATATATACTAAGTTCCAATATCAAAATTTTAATTCTATATTAACATTTTATCAGAATTAATCATTCAATTTTAACTATCACAAATAAAACGCATAAAAATAAAAAAGAAATAGCACCTTCAGATTTTAAAGTATTTAGGTCAGATAATTGTCAAAATTTTAAATTAATAGAAACTGAAAAAAATATATCTATTACAGGATAAAAATTTATCGATAGATTTACGCTGCCAAGTTTATCGATCACTGGAACATACAATCACATAAAGAATGACCTACCCAGGTATGCTAGGTATATATCCTTATTATATAAAAATATGTATATGTATCAACTTAATATCGAATAAAATAACTTAATATTTACCAATTTCAGATAATTTCTTTCATACGGTCCACATTGCAGCTATCTATCTTTTACTCTCCGAATGATATAATCTATCTCTTACATTAGTTATAATCATTTAAGCTACTCTTTTTAAAAGATAGTGAACACTTAGTGATCTCAATCCACAAATGTCATTGGAAAATATGATCTAAACCTAAACTATCCAAATGTACCAAAAATAACCAAAAAAATTCATTATACCCAGTTTTGAGCATTTTTATTCATGATATCCTATTTTTATCCGAAAACACAAAATATTAAAAGTAACTAATATAATTAATTTATGATTTTAATTTAAACTATTAAAATACTTATATGTACAATAATAACTAATAGTTTTAGATATATATATATATATATATATACACTTTTTGGATATCTTCAAATACTCATTCGATTCTCAGTTTTGACAGGATCGAGTACCAATTTTTTTGATACAGAAATTTAGAATGCATTCGGTTATTTATCATGGATCTGATGAATTCAGAAGCCTGAATTTTGGGTTAGTTTAAAGACGGATATTTTAGTTAGCCCTAATCTTACTATTAAAAGAGTTGACTTCATATATTTCATTAACTTTCAAATGTTAAAAGTTTTGTTTAATAATTCATTAGTTGTCAAACTTTTGATATACCAACAAGTAAATACCTTTTTTTTTACAAGTCAATTCTTAATTATTGTTTGGCTGTTTGTGTTTTAATATCTTGAATCACAAATGATGAAAACAAAATTTAACTTCTAAAGCCCTTTATATGATTAGTAGAATTTCTACATGTTATAAACAGCCTTCGAGCATAATAATTCGAAGAAGTCACACTCATGCAATTAGAACATTGACTCTTCCTTACAAGATTAAAAAGTTAATAAATATAAAAAAGTGTTTTAGTGGAAAGTTTAGTGTGATGGTTGGAGATAAGAATATAGTTTAACACCAAATTTTGTGTCAAGGTGAGAAATGCTCTCAGTAGCGCTGTGTTATCTTAATTTAAGGTTTATGACATTTTTAATTGTTGCCTTATGAAGAATAGTTTTGTTTAGTTACAAAGAGAATTTGATTGAAAATTTGTATTACTAGAAACACCATTAAACAATATAAATTATATTTTTACATTTAGCATCTAGACCCAAAAAAATAAGTTTTATCATTTTCAATAACCTTTCACACTAAATTATATGTTTAACCTGGTCTCTTATCAACTATAAAGTATTTTAGTAACACTATTTTTGCAATTATAATACTGATAGATATCTTTAAAAACAAAAATAAATGATGATTGCACTTTTCTAAAACAAAATTTTGAGGTACAATATTATTTCTATGTCATATTAATTCAACATAACTAAAAAGATAATTTCATATAATTAATAATATATATATTGTGTGAACAACTTCTAGAATATTTTTTTTAAAACATTCTAAAAGAAAGGTAGCAAATGATAAAAAAAATCAAAGTAATATAACAGAATAAAAAAATATGTTCATGAAATATAATATTATATTTTTTACAATAATTTATGTTATGTATTATCAAAATTTTGTTTTACTCAATTCAATATTTTACTATCAAACATATTCAAAATGGTTTCAGTCTTAAACCACATTCAATAATATTTTAGATTCATGATTTAAGTTTACAACAGTGTTATTATTATTTTTTCCTCATACACTTAATTTGTAATACAATTTTTATATTTTATTCAAGTCAGTTTACAAACAACACAATAATTCCACATTGACTATTCAACTATTTAAAAGGATGTTATGTCAAATGTAACAATTTATAAACATGTAAAAATTGAAAATTTTCAAAATATATTATCCGCGCGTAGCGCGGAAAAAGGATCTAGTAACAATAAAGAGGCTCAACTTTAGTACAAATAACATTTATCGGAAAACTCAATTATGATATGTTTAGCATACATTAAAAACTGAAATGATGTCCATGTACCATAAAAACATAATTAGCATACATTAGTATGGTTTAGATTGTGTTTAGGTATTTAAAAAAATGTAAATGAGTCTAAACATTAGTATATTAAACATTTATTGGAAAAGAACTCGATATTTTCGTAAGATATATTTAAAATGTAATATTTTATTTTAATGCATAATTTCTTCATGCAATAACATGTGATGAAAATTAAAGAGATCTGAGACTTTATTCGACCACGTTTCTCCAGAAATTACAGATTTTCTAGGGATTAGTCCACTGAATTAGGTTGAATATGAAGTATTATTAAATTACTCACTAAAATATTAGAAATGATTACCATGTACCATAAAAATAATTTTAACTTACATTAATATAAATGTATAATGTGCTTAGGTATTTTTTAGTCAGCATGAAAGAGTTAAAACTTTAGTAAATAGAATATTTCGGAAAACTCAACCTTTTTGTTGGAGTTAACCCACAGATTTTAAGATACATTAAAAAATAAGATATTTTTATTTTAATGCATAGATGCATACACTATATATATAGGATGAAGATCAACAATATCTGACACCTTTCTTGTCCAAATTTCTCTAGAATATAGAGATTTCATAGTGTTTGCTTCCTTAATTTACGTGGTATATAAAGTTTTATTAAATTACTTGTAGGAAATTTATAACTGATACCCAATTACCATGAAAATAAATTGAGGATACATTATTATAAATTTTGATGTGATTAGATAATTTAAATAACACTAAAGAGGCTCAACTTAAGTACAAATAGCATTTATCGGAAAACTCAATTATAATATGTTTAGCATACATTAAAAACTGAAATTATGCCCATGTACCATGATAATATGTTTAGCATACATTAAAAAATATTAATGAGGCTAAACTTTAGTATATTAAACATTTATTGGAAAATAACTCGATATTTTCGTAAGATAGATTAAAAACGTAATATTTTGTTTTAACGCATAATTTCTTCATGCAATGACATGTGATGAAAATTTAAAAGGACTGAGATTTTATTTGACCACTTTTCTCCGGAAATTACAGATTTTATAGGGATTAGTCAACTTAATTATGTTGATTATGAAGTATTGTTAAATTACGCACTAAAATATTAGAAATGATTCCCATGTACCATAAAGATAATTTTAACTTACATTAATAAAAATTTATAATGTGATTAGCAATTTCTTAGTCAACATGAAGAAGTTAAAACTTTAGTAAATAGATTTTTTCGGAAAACACAACCTTTTTTTAGGGGTTAACCCACCAATTTCAAGATAAATTTAAAAATAAGATATTTTTATTTTAATGCATAGATGCATTTACTATATATATATATATATAGGATGAATATCAAAGATGTCTGACACCTTTGTTGTCCTAATTTCCCTAGAATATAGAGATTTCATAGGATTTTGATTCCTTGATTTACGTGGTAAATAAAGTTTTATTAAATTACTTTATAACTGATACTCATGTACCATGAATCTAAATTTAGGATACATTATTATAAGTTTTTTGATGTGATTAGATATTTTAAATAACACTAAAGAGGTTCAACTTAAGTACAAATAGCATTTATTGGAAAACTTGATCTTTTCGTAGGGATTAACCCACAGATTTCAAGATAAATTAGAAAATATATAATTTTTGTATTTATGTATAGCTGCATCCAACACTGATATATGATGAATATCAAAGAGTGTGATACCTTAGTTGTCCAAAGTTCTCTATAAAATAGAGATTTCTTAGGATTAGTTCATTGATTTTGGTGGTATATGAATTTTATTAAATTATTTGGTTAAAAATTAGAATTGATGCCCATGTACAATGAACATATGTTAAACATATATT